ATGATTTTCCTTTTTAGACATAATTCCTAGATATTCAGTTGGTTACKTGAGGTTATTTTGGAGCTTGGTTGGATAGAAAAAGCATGTGGAGTGCATGCCATCTGTTTAGAAAATCATTGCTCTACCAYGGAAACTTTTTAATAGAAACTTTGGCCATTTCTGAGGAGATCTGCAAAAAAGCACAGACTGCTTCAAGTACAAGTGTCTATTGAATAACTGGCTGGGAAAGTTCCTAGAAAGTTTTCCTTGTAAAACTGAAACTGGGAACATGCAATCTTCATGTCATTATCTACATTATGAAATCTGTGGAAAACAAACCATGTGCAATAACACAGTTGTTCTAACTAGAAGCACTTAATCTCCCATAGTCATCTCAAAACATACATGATCCAGCTCCTGGTCATGTACACAGTAAGCAATGATTGGCGGGGAGAGTCAAGGACAACTTCCTGATCTGATTTCCAAGTCCCTGCTAAATTTTGCAGACCGGAAAAAAAAAATCCTGCTTTTCTTGCTTCTAAAGGGAAACTGGACTTTCTAGAACTGAACAAACAACAGGAGAAATTCTTATGTGAGTAGGAATGCTAGATTTGGTTCAAGAAGTCACATTCTTAAGTCTGGAAAACACAAGGCTTTCTAATGACAAAGTTCAGAGATGTAAGAAGTTCAATTATTAAATAAGTATCTTGACTCACATATRTAATAACTTCTTGCACAACATGGCCACAACCATGGCACTTCGGAGGAAAGCAATGAAGATCTGGGCTATTACATAACTTGCTGCACGCAGGACTACCTCTGTAGATAGGTAGAATAAGCCTTACAGTGACAACGACTAAGATGATGTGGGAGGTACAGAGGAAATGAGGAAGAAAACCTTTTCTTTTGCCAAACTTCTCTTTGAGCTCATTTTCACTAGGAATCTTGGTAATTTCACAGCTCTTTTCCACCTATATTCTGCATTTCCTGCCTAACACATAGCAGGTATAAGAAGRTTAGTCAGAACCTTTTCTGTATTGACGATTGAAATTGGGAATGCATTAAATATATACATCCTTGGGCATGTCAAAATTGATGAAGAAAATACCATTTTGTTGATATCTACACTATCAAGGGATTTCCAACAACAACAAAACAGTATAATTTGCTTTTTATAAACACTCCAAGACAATATGTGATACATTCAGAAGGGAAGGGTCAAGTTAATTGCAGCATATTAAATCAACGCTCATACCACGTGTGAGCCCCATGTTTGAACAAAGTGAAAATACTTCTGCAATTCTGGTAAAGGATTTCATAGCATTCCCTGAGACTACACCTGCATCTAATAGATTAAATATCTGTGACTCCTGGAAAACTGCCAGATGCAGTCACTGTAAAAGGTGTAGTGTCCTCTGCAGCTCTGGGACCTGCAGAACGCTTGCACGTAGAGGTAGCCAGTTTGCTGGAGCAGACCCAACCTCTCCGGCCACCTGGGGGGCAGGAGTTGCTGAGGGCTCTCACGCASAGTGCGACTGCAGCCACCTCCTCACAGCCCCTGCTCAGCAGCGCGGCCGTGGCACCCTTCGCCCAGGAGGGAAACGGTCCCAAGGAAGACCACTAATGTAATAAACCTGCAGCTCCAGCCCTGAACACAGGCACAGCTTCCCAAGGGCCTCGTCCTAACAGGAAGCACTGGCTAGTCCGAGAGACCTGGGAGGCTGCTGTGTTAAAGCATCTATTGGGGTTCAAGGCCTGTTTATAATTAGGGTGTCCTGTAACAGCTTTAAGAGATATGGAAGACAAAGTATATTTATATATCAAGCACTGACATGACCCCTCCCTGTTTTGCTGGCTATAGGTTTTTTTCTGTTTAATTAGGACCTTAAGTTGAACAAACTATTTTTTTCCCCCTTCCCCTAGCGATGGGCAATCATTTAAGCAAGTTCGTTAGACAGTGTTTGAGTTCAGTTACAGTCTTTGGTTCACAGTCAGCCCGCTGAGCAGTGCTCGGGGCCGAGCAGCATTTTCTGGAACGCTGCTGCTACCTACAGGCCTCATCTGCACAGTGCTTGAAAATGATACCAAATCACATCCTGCAGACGGTTTCATGAATTTGGGAAAGGGAACTGACACTAAAACCTGCTGACTTCAGGGAAATGCAACTTAGCAATCTGTTTTATGACTACAAGCTTGTTACCAAAAAAAAAAAAGTGCACCTCATTTAAGGGAAAGGGGATTTCTGCTGTACAGAAACATAGCTGGGCTTTTTGTTTTGTGTGGGGTGTTTTTTTTTGTGAATGAAGATGCAGCTCTGTACTCAAAGGTGCAGAGTAAGAAGCATCTGCTCTGAAATGGGAACCTTTTCTCACCACAATATATTCTGGAACTGAAGTTAATGGCATATACGAGGACCAGAAACTACCTTCAAGCCTGTCAATGCTCAACTTTTAAGTCAATCTAGGATATAACCACAATTCCCTAAAATTTAGTTGTGGCTATTTACCGTTTGGAATTGTCATTTACTTCCCCAGCTTTTTCTTCCACAACCAATGAACTTTGATAACTGTTTTTTTTTTCCCCTCTTTGATAACTGCTTTTTTTCTTTGATAACAGCTTTTTTTCTTCCTCTTTCAGACAGGCAAAGATGATATGCAGAAATAGAGTAAGATAAAACTTTGCTACTAACAAAGTACAGAACAGTTTCAGAACAGAATAAGAAAAAAATAACTAAAACTATCCATCACATATAAAGAAACCACGGAGAGAGTAAAAGCATCTATCATTACTTAACTAGTGGTCATGGACATCAGCATCAGGCTACCAAAGAGCATCAGACCACAAACTTTCTGTAAATGGCAGAGGAAGGTGCAGGTGGTAGAAGAACTAACAGGGAAAAGCCTCCACCAATGTACAGCAACAGAACCAAATAACTCATTTGTGAAATCTGCATCTGCAGCTGTGTTAATTTGCTATTGAGATGAATAGTTGAGCAGAAGCAACAGCATTTTGAAGTCACAGAAAATAGTAATTACAGACTCTCCTACTGTTTTACCCTAATCTGACATGTGGAAAGTTTGTGAAACTCTATTGGTCTAAGATGCAGAAAAAGCTCTTCCAAAGTTGATTTATGTAAGCCATCAGGAGCAGCATCTGATGAGCATATTTCAAATAAACTTTCCAATTTTATTTTTAACTATTACATGGGAAATATTCTGGAATACAACCAACCTTCAGTATGCAAGGAGTTGTTTATTCATTTGGAAGGGCAGGGACCAGCTGATGGTAATAATTTTCTCAACCAGAGTTCTGCCCACAGCTAACAGAACTTCAGGCCCACATTTATGTTACCTTTTTGACATTATTTAACACTGCTGTTTCCAAGAGACAATCAGTACAAMTCAGCCAGCAAATCTGCAATTTTGAGTATAAAAGAAAAAAAGACAGCCTTCAGGGAGCTGTGAGAGCAAAAACACTTGGAAAAGAGYGTGTTCAATCAGTGTAGTAACCTAAGGACATATTTATAAACAGCAAGCACAAGATAWGTATTTTGACTGTTACCCATATTATTTCTCTGTCAGCTCCCACCTGCATTAAGAAAAACTGACAATGTAATTTACCATTGGGACCACACTTGAGCAGAAWGCAAAGACACCAGATGAACAAAAGTTTAATGTGAATAGTTTGGCAGCTGTTGCCACCACCTGCAGACACATGSAGGAGTTGAATTACCTGTGTCAATTTTGTAGAGCCAGGCTTAGCTGGAGCCAGGGTATTGGGCTGTGCTAAGGCACAAGGCAGGCTGCACATGTCTCGGGGAACTCCTCACGCTGGAGACAGCTGCATTTCCAAGGGAAACCAGCACAGGACATTGAAGCTGCAAAGCCTGCAATGACAGCAGGGACATTCYTGATGGCTGCACCTCTTATAAGYCACACACACACACAAAACAACCAATATCTAACTCTTAAGCCTTGATGGGAACAGTAATTATCTACACTTACATAAATGGCAATTTAACCTTATTCAAAGACTAATAACAAACTCTACAGAACTCTTCATTGTGTACTTTAAGGCAGATGTTTAAGTTAAAAGGGTATTCATTAAAACACCATACTGATCACACATGAAATACTTCTAAGGTATTTGTGTTTAAAATAATCTAAAATACACACCCAGATGCGCATGCTGCAGCTTAAGATATGCTTTATAACTTTCTATTACATTAGCATTTTGAAAGCATATTTGTGCCAATAAGCACTTCCTCATTTTCATGAGATTAGTACCCACTGCGTGGCATTTACACCTGCTTACCGGACAGCCATGGGGCTGTCCTTGCTAYACCTTTCTATGCAGAAAACCAACAGCAACAAACCCTTCCAGTCTTCCTAGCGGAATGGCACCTTCACCCTACCACCACTTTCCCAACTGATGCGTAGCAAATGCCAGTGCTGCTCATGTTGCTGCCTACAAGAACAGTAACTACCTGTCCTGGTCTGCTTTTAAACACAAGACATCCCAGGGAAAAACCTACTAAACCACAAAGCAATCACTAAAATGTTTCTGCTTGCACATGTRGCCCTGAGGCTCGCCCTGACCCAGCAGGGGAGACCTCTCCGTTGGAAGGGGACAGGGAGCCCCGGGAGGCCTGGGGAGCAGCAKCATCATCATCCTCTGACTGGTGTGGAGGGCAAGGCCGGGTGCAGAGGTCCAGACCACGGGCTCCCGTCTGGGGCTGCAGGAAGGCTCGTGGGGAGCCTGGTGGTTCCCACATCTCCATAAGGAACRCACTGCGCCAAGGCACGTCCGGAGGAACTGTGCTCGCTACATCCTAAAACCCCTTTAAAACACGTGAAAACCAAGTGAACCCCCTGCCGCCTCCCCGCTGTGCCCCGCCGGGCGCTGC